TGAGACGCAGGCTAGATGTTCGGTTTTCCAGTAAGCTTGCTTCTAGAAAGAGTACGAACGATCTGTGTGCTCTGCCATTTGTGGCAGCTTGCCATTCCTGACTTCTTCAAGCCAACACCTCAAGACCCGGTTGCTCCGCATAGAAGATCTTTCTGCTCGGACTATTGTTTAACTGACCCTACACCCAACCCTCAACCTTAGCACTGCGTGCAGGCCAAATGTACCCTCGATTTACACCGAGCGGGACACTCAGCTACTCAGTGAGTGGAACGCCTGTCATTCCACTGCTAGCTTGTGGTTCACCTGAGATATCCGAGCCCCCAAGCCCCTAAACCATAAACCCTAAACCCAAGAGTGCGAGTTCGATCATGGACTGCACATCACTCTGCAGCTTAACTTCTCAAGTCGTGACCTTCCCTTCTGCTCAATTTGGGCACATGAACCTCACACCCTGAGACACAACCCGATAGAGGATAGTCTAGTAAGTCCAGCAGGCAGATGTTCTGGCAGTGTGAAGCTCGTAAGTAGTAGCTTGAATGGTCTCTCTGCCTCCCTTTGGCCCCTGCCGGATCTTTCTCGAAGAAACATGACTGCACCGAACAAGCAATGCATCCTATTCAACTACAAGGCGATCAAGAGCAGAACTTTCGGGCTCTCCCTGGCGGCAGAACTCTTTTGCGTCGCTTTCTTCCAGCTCGCTACACACACAGCTCCGGAAGACTTTGCACCAGTTCTGCAAGGGCTGACGCTTGCTGCGCTCGTGTTCATAGCTGGGCATGCTTCAGGCGGCCACCTGAACCCGTTGATAAGCTTGAGCACGGCAGCACTGGGATATCATCCATGGCTTCATGCCATGATGTACTGCACGATGCAATGCTTGGGCGGAATCCTGGGTGCTCTCTTCGCACAGGCTCTGTTCCCAAACAGCGACCGGTTTTTTCTTGCCGGTGTCACTGGCCCGGGATGTCTGGATCGGTCGACAGTTCCTGCAGACGTAACTAACAGCATGATCATCGGGTGGGAATGCCTGATGACGGGTATGCTTATGTCCAGCTTCCTCATGTGCGGCTTGGACACGCCCGCAGCTTGCGGAAGCTTTGCCCCGGTGGTGGCTGGCTTGGCCACGGCTGCGTGCGCGGGCTCCGGGGGTCAGTACACAGGGGCTTCATTGAATCCGGCTCGCATCGTAGGGCCAATTGTGATCTTTGGCTGCAAGGAAGAGCTGGCACCGCAATACCTGCTAGGGCAGCTTCTTGGGGCAATCTTTTCCACAGGCCTCGTGGCTGCCATCGCACGACCCGGACCCCTAAACCCTTGCGTGTCGAGGCCAGCACTGAAACTGAAAGACTGGGAAGCCTGGAGGCTGTGGCTGACCGGGTATCCCCCAAGCCGTTTGAAGATCACGAGCACGGAGACCGTTGAGACCATTCAGGACTACTACCTGCAGATCATCTGCTATCTCGAGGGCACACCTCTTCCAGTGGTCCGGCGCAGAACGAGCCTAGACTTGGAGATTCTCTTCGGGGAGGGGATCTCGACCATGGTACGAACGACTTCACAGAAGTCGGAACCAAACATGGTCACAGAGGCTCCAAGGGAGGTGGCACTGATGCTGCAGCACCCCGAGATAACTCAAAGAGAGCATCTGATGGAAACGTGTGCTTCCCCCATGAAGATCTTCAGGTCCTAGTGGGTCTAGTCATACAAAGAGAAACATGTAGAGCAGTTATCAGCATAGATGCATTCGCGCGTTCCCTGTGGAGCCGCGCTGCTCTGAACAAAGCCGTGAAGACTGCATCTACTGAAAAGTAAGTGTGTAAAGTGTAAAGATATCTTATCAAGATCCACCAGTGATCTTTCCATTTCCACGAGGCCGAATCCCCTGTGTACAGCCTGCATAGAGTGGACCTCAGAAAGTTGCAACATGGATTTAAGATGATTAGTGCTAGGATCCCCTAGCACTTTACCTTAGGGGCCTGATGATACTGATCTTCCAACTTTCTGGCTTCCACTTTACTGATAGCGTGGTATTCGGATTTGACAGACGGCATCAGACGGCGTCTAAGATCGTAGGAATCACGCGCCGACCATGAACTGTGCCGGAAGTTGCTGCCCGCTCCAAAATGTGATTCAGTTCTTTTGGTGTCTGGTGGGCCACAAAAGATGGCTAAAGGCCGGCAGGAGTTCGAGAGAGAGTCCTTGTTCAGCTATCTGTCGGTACGCACTACAAGAAGCTTTGTGCACCTACATGCAACGTGCATAAGAGCTCGCCTGTCGGCCAGGTTGGAGCAGAAGAGCTACCAGCGAATGCAGAAAGTCTCCACACGCCAGAAACTCGGAGCCCGACCAAAGCAGTACGAGCCGGGCTTGGGGCTTAGGGTTTGGGGTTTTGGATGTTGGTAGGGTATCGGGTTTGGGGAGGGTTTAGAGTTTGGGACTACCTTTCAGCGATACGGATCCCGGTTGCAAGCTAGCTTTGGGGCAGGTACCCTTTCTTTATATCTCTCTCTCTCTCTTATATTGCAAGCATGAAGCCCAGGCGCAGAACCCCTTTTCAGTGTAGACCCGACATACATGACATGACCGAACCCCCCAAGCCCAGGTTCAAGCCCCAAATCTTCCGCAACCTGCCTGGCCGACCCCCAGGCGCAATGCTGCTCTGTTGCGTGGTATACCTGATGATGGGAGTCGGAACCCCAGCGACGGTTTTAGAGTCAGGCTTTAGGCGACTTGGGCGTAGGAATGATGCTTTGGGGTCCAGGGTCCCGGGTCTAGGAAGAAGATTCCGCCACCGACGGAAAGTTGCACAGTGTGCTTCAACGATCTCTGAACTTGGTTCCTACCTGGACCACCCAACTACCCTCAAATATATCCTAAATACCTGGTACTTGCACTGCTCCAAGCGGTGCATCGGTTGGCTCCTGACTCGATGAAGTTCGGTGCACGAAGGGAGAGGTGCCCCACCGCCCCAACCCCGAGCCCTAAACCCTAAACTCTAAACATCCCTAAACCCTCAACCCCAAGAAGCACCTCGAAGTCCGAAAACGGAGATTTTCCGACCCGACCCCATGATCAGACAGGAGTGCAGGTCAGGACGTTCAGGGTGCAGGGCAAAGTTTAGCTGCGAGTCGCTTCTACACCCCTAAACCCTAACCCCCGAGCCTTATAGGAAATCCACAGCTACGCCCAGTCGGAATCCAAACCCCGGAGAGCTGCTTCAGGGAATGTCCACCTCGGACTTCCACCATCTTAATAAACTCGATAATGCAGCATTCCAGTATAAACAGTAGAATTTATACGACGATGCTACAACATAATACAGTTTAATTGAATTCAATGTCATGTCATTTAGCATAATCCCACGAAATATCTCATAAAAATGATATAGTAACCTGACCTGCCGATAACCTCCAAACCCTAAACCCTAAACCCTCAACCTTCAACCCTAAACCCTAAACCCGAAACCCTAAACCCTAAACCCTAAACCCTAACATACATGAACAAGGTCACCGGCTTCCTGGCCTTCGGTGAAGATACGCTGGGCAACATCTTGGGCAACTTGCAGCCAGAGCCTGACAGTTTCGGCGAATATATGTAGGGGCATAAATGGGTAGTTGTCAAAATGATGGTCCCTTTTGGGGTACCCTAAATAATAGGTGCCGTATTATAATAATAAGGACCCAAAAAGGGACCATAATTTTGACAACCACCCATATGTAGGGGCATGAATAATTAACTATATTGTTTGGGGTGTTCCTTATTATAAATTTAGTATATCATTTGGGCGGGGGTCCTTAGTATAAACTCAGTATATTATTTGGGGGGCGGGGTCCTTAGTATAAATATAGTATAATGGGCCCCAAAATCCTATTCTAATTGTCAAGGCCCCTACATTAGGATCCACCGCAGCGGCAGACGTGGGCAAAGTCTCGCAAGTGTCATGTTCATGTTTCAACGGATGCATTCATGGAGCCTCCTGCCAATCCGAAGCTGCTACTATGCCACATGCTCAATGCCAGGCTACTTCCAGCTTAACTCCGGAGAGACCTACATGACTCACCCCTCAACTGGCATGTATGACCTCGAATCCCATATGGGTAGTTGTCAAAATTATGGTCCCTTTTGGGGGTACCCTCAATAATAGGTGCCGTGTTATAATAAGGACCCAAAAAGGGACCATAATTTTGACAACCACCCATATCTCTGCTGAGAAACACCCATGTGTTTGGTTCGATGAGGCCTATGCTCTGTGCGAATGACTGGATGGTCCGTTCCGGGATGGCCAGCATGGCCTTTGCCGAGCCTCGCATTTGTTCAGTTTTGAGGGTGCGCGAATTCCCCGAGAACTGTGTACTTGAGATCAGCGTTGGTGGCCAGCTCCTCCGTCGGGTTGGTTGCTTGCTTCTGGGATGTGGCAAAACACCAGCTGACAAGCAGCACCTTTGGAAGCTTGGAGTTGAACCATTTTTGAACCCCTTACCTCGAACTTTCACCGTTACCCAAGGTGACAATGGCGTACCCGCTCAACATTTTCCCAATTCGTTTCTCGGCCCGCTCCCCAAGCCGGAGCAAGATTCCGCACATGTCTTGGGCACAGATGTGACGACGTGTTGTTGTTACTGCTGTTATATAGTCTTGCGTTCTTGCAGAGGCTCGCATCTTAAGGCAGAGTGAGTTCTTGAGTCTCTGCGTTGATTTGCAAGCCACTCCTTACTGCATTGCATTGGGATGCCAAGCCACATCGGGCAAGGTAGAGACGGCGTTGTTCTACCACAGACCTAGCCTCAACTGTTCCGCCGTGCGGACAGGCGGTGGGTTTCCGGGCTGCCTCAGACCGTAGTTTCCGAAGGGTATCACTTTGATAATGTTTGCTGCTGCTACTTGGAGGTTCATGGGTAGTTATAAATGGGGTTATAAGTCCCCTAATATGGGTTATAATTACAGTTACGCTACTTATAACCCCACTTATAACTTCCCATGAACCTCCAAGTAGTTTATACAGCGACCACCCAGCACATGCTACTGCGGCTGCTGCACCAGTTTCTCGTGTACTCTGCACTTGGCCAGGCATTGCCGTCGGCGCGGTCGCTTCAAGCCTTATTGTCGCGATTGCTGGGGGCCTATTATATCGCACAGGATGGATGTATATGAAGCATGCAGCGGCTTGGGCCTGTATCTACCTGTCCTGTGTCGACATGCTGCAGGCTTTCAGACAGTCGGCAAAGATCTAAACGTGAACATGACGCGGTTTTAGCGGAGACCTGCCAGAACATGCTGAGGCTTTACCCCAAATCAATCTGATCTTCGAGTTGATCGGGGCCGGAGCCTTGGGGCAGCCCAACTTCAACAAAGCCACACGCTCACCAAATAGTCCTTACTGATCCGGATGTCAATGTGACAGAATTAGTCCTTGATGATCCTGATGCCTGTGTAACGAAACATGCCCCCGAAGCCCTGATCTAATCGTTCGACAGGGCCTCGGTACTGAATGCTCACTCCCGAGTAAGACGGACAACAAGCAGTGATCAGCGGAGCGGTCCGGTTGGTTGTCGTCCGATTTTCCAGACTGCGAGGATTCAGGGTTGCGACTGCGACTGAGGGCTTAGGGGTTGGGGTTTAGGAGTTTAGGGTTTAGGGCTGAGAATGTTTGATGCGTAACTGTGCGTAACGGTTCTTGGCTGAGGCGCTTTTTTACGACTTCCGTTTGATGTACTATTTGGGGTTTAGGGGTTTCGAGAAGGTCCCAAGGTGGCCATACTTGGAGGTTCATG